CTGTGGATGAGTGTGGCGGACGGCATGCTTGCCCAGAGCTTTGACGTTCAGGGACAGGCCCTCGACGCGCAGAAGGCGTGGGGTGATGCGACGCAGTATGCACGGCAGGCCTTTAATATGATGGGCCAGGAGGGCTCGGCCTGAAGTTGGGGGTAGCAGCGGGCACGGTAAATCCGGGTCCGTTGGAGGTTAAGGTAAAGCCTGGAGGCGTTTATGTATAATACTATAGCATTGCATCGTGGGATCGTACGGGTAGGCGGGCGGTATCGATGCTGGGCGTTTCGCTGGTCAGGTTAGGCCAGGTCACAAGGGGAGCGATTGTTACTTTCTCGTTGGCCAGGTCAGACGGCTGATGACAATATACCCTCTCGTGTTTGATAGGTTGTCTGTGATAAGCTACTCTTGTTTCATACAGTACAGTGCAGTGCATACGTGCAAGGTGTCCATCATGTATAGTGAAGTGAAGTGAAGTTATGCAGTGTAGAGGGACGGCGGTAGTAGAGGACAAGGCATAGGTAGGTATGAATAGGTAGGTATGACGGGATCAACGTTACTCAGCATACAAGAGCCGCTCCGTTTCGAGCCTATTCCGACCGGATCGATGCTTCGAGGGCTCCGGCGTGGGTAGGAGGGCCAAGATACCTTATGCAGCTCACCTGCGCTCACCGGCGCAATAGTACCGGGACCTCGTATTGGTGGATCCGGGCTGTCTGTCATACGAAGCCGGAGATGGGGCTTGGGCGTTTACGATACTGTACGATATATCCCGTATTTGATATTACGTTGGCATACTTGGTTGCAATCTGATTTGATATCTACTTCTTTTTACTTGCTCTCTCCCCTTTCACATCGGTGGACACTTGAGCAAGTATTGACAAAGCAAAAGAAAAAAAGAAAAAAAAAAAAAGAGATCGGAACCTTCCTCATCGGGCTGGTTGGATATATAGAAGACGGGGGTCTGGCCTTGTCTGCCGAGCTTTGACTATACATATATGTATGCGCGTGTCTGCGTAGAGGTATGTATGTAAGCACTTAGGCAAGCAGCGAGAGCTAGAAGATAGCTCTTGGCTGGCCAACCGAGCAGCCGGTGTCGTCGATGTTACGTAGGTGGGCGAGGTGTTGGAAGTGAGACACGGCGATGGGGTTCGGAAGGCTAGCCGAAAAGCAGAGGGAGGAGTAAAGAGGATAGATATACATATGAATAAAACTACGGCTGTATACACATACCTTACATACAATAGGTTGTTGGGGGTTTTTCTTCTTCTTTTCTTCCGGGCGGCCCCGGCCACGAGGTGAATACCCTTTTACGATTATTATTACCTGCTTGTTTATATGTATTGTATTGTATTGTATTATATTGCGAAGAAGCTAAGCACATAGTCGAGCCGAGGCGGGAAAGGGTAATAGAACAAGCGAGTTAGTAGCCGAGCAGGTAAGTTGATGAGCAAGTAGGTAGGCTAGGTAGGTTAGGTACCTATGTAGGTAAGTAAGTAAACGAACGGACAGGGCAGAATGCACGATTTCCTCGTAACGAGCAGATAAAGACAGGGAACGATGACGATGACGACGACGACGACGACGATAACGAGGGGCCGGCGCGGAGTATACCGCAAGGAGATGGACATTGTGGGCCTTGGGGGACTGGTCTGAGGTGATTTATTTGACTTATACACATACCTACCTAACCTTACCTACCATCTATACATAGACGTATTCGTAGAACTCGATTTTTGGTACGATACGCAGTCCAATACTTTGGGTAGATACGAGGCTGTTTTAGGGTTGACACATATATGATATGGGCATACATGCCTACCTACATTAAGGGACCCTTTGTGCTTTTTGGCGTGGACCCTTCCGTAGCGTATAGGTATACCTATGTTAGGTACCTATGTAGGTAGGTAGTGTAGATAATAGTACATCCGCAACCAAAACCCGCTCCGCCGGCTCGAAGTCCCGCTTGGGATCGCCAAGTACCGAGGTACATGCCTATAGTATATACACTATGTAGTTATATACCGATAACACATGTAGTAAGTCAATATCGACACTAGGTATACTACCTAAGTATACTACTACTACTACTACTACTACATATACCTACATATATACAACCACGCTACATACATGGTATATACATACCTCCACTAGTAGTAGTACGTACCCGCGGGCGACCAGTCCCCTGGGTCTCCACGGTGCAACCCTAGGCCGGCTTCGCGATACCTACTTTATTTTTATTTCGATGGGCTGCCTGTATGTAATATGTATACCTGCTCGGTCGCTTTTATACCCACACACATAGTACTTACTATGCAGTGGCTTTTTTTTATTTACCTTTATTTCTGGGGCGCGCGGTAGTGCGTGGTGGGGTAGGTAGTGGTGGTGACGTGCTAGGTATCTACCGTATGTATAAGAGGTGGTTATATAGGTAGGTAGGTAGGTATACATACATATGTAGACTATTATTAGTTATAGTATTGTGTATGTGTGTATACACTACTTATACTGGGTATATAATACGTAGGAAAATAGATAGAGATAGATAAAAGAAGTAAACAAACGTAAGGCATCTGTATCTACCCAAGATAGGATTATTATTGATAATGTACGTATCTGCTGATACGCCCTGTTTTTTTTTTTTTTTCCCACCAACCAATACCTCTCCATAACATACGTAAGCTCAGGAGGGGGGGGAGAGAGGTTGTGTTGTCGTGGGATAGGTATCATCCAACCCACACACACGCAATCTGAACCCCTGCGATTGGGAAGGGGTTAGAAACCAAGATCCAGCAGGGCACGGAGTTAAGGCGCTTTCTCTGTATACAATACTACCTTATCCGTAACCTTTCGTTTTGTCGTCATCAATTGCGCGGGAGTTCTTCGGCGCATATCCAACCCCAACCCCAACCTATCCCGTCCCGTCGTCTAGGACTTACACTAGGTACACGTACGGGAATATGCTGTGTGTCCGTCTCAGCATATGTTTCTGTCAGTTAATTATATGCCCTCACGGGGCGCGGCGGGGGGAGGCGGCGTATATACCATATTCTACATGCGGCGGCGAATAGGAGACGGGGAATGGCGCAACAACAACTTTACATCTACCGTGAGATGTGTCGTGTGGCGCACGCATGGCTTCGAGACACAGGCCCCGTAGCGTAATAGCTGACAGCATCGTGCAACGTGGTTTTCGAAGCTGCAGTCAGCCTACATGTCATGTACGTGAGTCCCGTCCTATACACCCACCATCCATTATAGGTATACGTACATACATACCTATGTACCTAATGTATATCCCAAGACTAGCTACCGTGACCCCATACAGCATCTCGCACCGCAACTTTCCTGATTCCAGCAGCGCTACCGGCCGTAACGAGTTCTGGTAGCCCGGTTTCGTATCTCCGAGTCGCACTACGGTTTCCCCTTCCGTCTGTTCGTACGGGGCTTACAGCAGCGGGCCAGGTCCCGTTTTGGGACTCTTCCCGGCCGACAAGTTCGATATAGGTAACCAACACACGGAGGAACGAGCACGGGGCGTACCCTAAAAAAGCCTGCTAGGAATAGCAAAAGGGGTGTGCTCCCTGCAGGAAACGTGACCACCAGCCCTCTTCGAAGAGGATGGTGGAAAGGGGGGAAGGGGGAAGGGAGAAAAAGAACCGCTGTGGCGTTAGCTTTTCGCGTGGCATCAAAAATGAATTATGATCTGATGGCTGGCTATCTAACCGCTGCCTGAACAACGACATGCCTCGCCTTCGGCATACGATTGGATCACGCGGCGATTGCAGGATTCTTAGCCTCGGCCAACAATGCTCTTCTCGTGCTGTCTACCTACGAGTGACACAATCCACCCTTTATTAGTCTTAAAACGCTCGAATGATCCTTCAAAATCGAGTAAGGCGCGTTATACCTACGTTACACAATGGGCTTCTTATGTATTCCTTTGTTGGCTCAAGTGTCACAACTACAAGTGTTTGGTAAAAGGTAACACACGACTGTTGTATCAAAGTGAACTTTTATTCTTCCCTCCTTATTGACTACTCTTCCGCCCTGAGCGTCCTTGCTTTATTCCATCCTTTTCCGTACGTAGTCCTACGGCGTATATGTACTTTCAAATGCCACAAATAGGGGTATAGTACAGGGTATTCTTTATAAACAATAGACATGAAACTGAGACTTGGTAACCAACTGTGCGAGTCCTGAACAAAAAATAATAAAAAAGGAGGCGCAACATGCAGTTAATCCAAACAGGCAGATAAATCATCCCAATGCAAAAACCAGGATATCCAAATCTCATCCTCGTGCCCACCTTCCAAATGCTTTGAGGCCGTTCAAGACATGCATATCAAAATCAAAACGCCCGCCAGGATGCTGCCCAACCCCAACCAATAATGGGCTATCTAGTAAACCGAGTGTAGATCTTCGGTCGAAGTCGCGATAGTACCAATAAAGTAACGGTACGGCTCGCCATTGTAAATGAACTCGGCTATTGTCGAGGGAAGTTGTGGTGTAGGATAGGACTACCCCGAAAGCATGTTATCGAAGCCTTGGAGATACTCGTTCTAGGTGAGGTAATAGGGAACTCCTGGATTAAGAGGCTTCGAAGCCGCCTAATCAAGAAGGCTTGAAGTGGGATCGTCGCCTTCCCCACCAACCGATTAACATCTCGGTAACGGTTTTGAGTACCCTTTCCACGTCCTCCACGCCGTTGAGGGGTATCGTAATAGAACCGGAAAATCAATGCAAGCCGGCCAGGAATAAGCATAAGCCTCTTGGTGTCAACTCCCCAAATTAGCATCAAAACCAGACATTCATCGCTTGGGTTTCTTCAAGTATCCTGTTATCTCTTTCCAAGGCCGACAAGCCTAGTGCGAACGCCACCAGCCCCTAGACAACTCCGCTTTTGACGTATCCATTAATATTAGGCACTATTTCCATTTCATGTTTGCCAAACAGAACGGACGTATCCTCAGATTAGCCAGAACAAGTTCGTAGCCGTGTCAATATTTCGTCGGTAAAGTTATTCGGCTCGAAAGAATTTAAAAACTCTATACACGTGTATGGGGTCTCCTATGTATCAGATATATAAGCATTATGATCATTATTTTTTGGGTGTGATTTTAAAGCAACGCTAACCGAATGGGTAGCACAATGCTCATGATAGTCGTGTGCATGATGAAGAGAAAAGACAGGTGGTCGAGTGATTATTCAGAGGGCATATACATACGAGTCTGTTTGCCATGGTCGACAAAGGATATCGCGAGGTAAATCGTGATGCTGCCAGGATGGCATACTGCCATTAGGCGCCCGTTTGATCTCGGGGATAGGGATCATTGGGGGAGGACGACTTGCTGGGGGCGGTGGTTGTCGCGGATAGTCGTCATACGAAAACCTCATCCTCTTAGAGGATAAGCCAGGGAGTAGTTCGGGAGACGGATGGCTCATTTTCGAGGTACGCGGTGAGACTGGCGTACTTGAGGCGCTCCTAGGTCTTCCAAAATCTATTGCGCCTGGGTGCGACCCAAGCGACCTAGATAGTTCGTGTTCGGCCGATGAAGCCACCGGAGACGTATTGTGACCACCACGAGGACTATGTTAAATGTTAGCACATGGAACGCAACGCCACCTCGACAGCACCAACTCTCCGGACTCACGCGTTCTTAAACTTGCAAACCCTGCCGAATTTTTCACACTGAACACATCGAGGATAATCGGGGTCACACTTGATCTTCTTCTCCCGACACGTGAGACAAGCTATCGCAAGTCGTTTCCTCGGCTTCCCAGCCTTCGTAACTCCCCAGTGGGCATTAACCGGCTCTCCGTCAATGACCGTCTTGCAGTGAGTCCCATCATCATAGAAATAGCACAGTCCCTCTCCTGGGACCTCAGCCTGCTTCACAAATCGAGGCAAAAAGTGTGTTCCCGTCCATATCTTAGGTCCTAGCCCGTCTTTTACCGGCGCACCTTCAGGTGCAACTACGCTCGCTAGAGTCGGCGAGTGACTTGACGGGTCTAGACGCATTTGACTTTCCCTCTTGAATACTGGACTTGATTCATAGCCAAATCGCTGGTTCAGGGGAGGGAGTGGCATACGCTCGCTTACCGGCCTGTAAGGGGGACTTGGCGGCCGGGACTCGAACACATACTCCCGCCTTGAATCCGCCCACCTTCCAGACGGAACAGGTTCGGCTTGCGTTGCACGATGCAAATGTTCATACTCGTGCGTGGGAGACCTTAGCGGTCCAGGAAACTGAGAAGCAACCGAGGGGAGTGTTGGCCGCTCCGCTTCCGGCCTCGGCTCATAGACGCTGCGAGGCTGGCTCAAGGAAGGAGATACGTTTGGAAAATAAGAGGAACTTCTTGAGTGTGGCCTATCCAAAGGAGAGTGTGCACTGTGGAGCGGGCTTGGTCGATCCGGGAGAGGAGAGAGTGTTGAGCGGACATGGTGGTGAGGAGGGCCGAACAAGCTACTTAAAGGTGGGAGTTGCTGTCGAGGTGCACCATTAATATCTCTTCGCATCTGGCTGTCCTCAAAATCTCTGGTAGCCGGCATATCTGGTCGGGTGCTCGGATCATAGTTAGACATGGGAGGAGAAATAGGCGCAGGAGGAGTCCAAGCTGGTTCTTCAAGAATCTTAGGAGTGAGAGTCGATGAGCTTGGGCTGACCGGGCCAGGAGGTGTATTAGGAATGGCGGATGGACGACAAAGTTCTAATCTGACTGGTATCCCCATTGAGATGGAATGCGATGCTGGATAATTCCTTACAACATATCAAGCTAAAATTTAGCAGCTGTTTGTATGTTCGTAGGTAAAGCTATGAAACCAAGAAAGAACGGCGTAGATAGAGATACACGCCGAATTAGTTGAATGTTTTGGGTATCTGCCGGGTAAAGGTCGTCCAGCGGCGTAGTTGGTAAGTACACACGCCCACCCTCTGAGCTGTAAGTCGTCGAGCCGAGTCGCTGAGAGTGGCCAGAATTCCGGATAATTGGCCGTTCAGATTCAGCGTGCTGCTGTCCAATCCGGAGTGCTTTCTAATCGTCTAATCGTCTAATCAGGTCCGTGAGGAATGCTGAAAGCGGTCTACGTGCTTGATGGCTAGATCAGATGGTGAACAGTGTCAGATTCTATATAAGCTGACACAGGCGAAGGGGCAATAGGGTCCCGACTCGCGTGATAGTCAAATTTAGCCAATGTACGATGTTGTAAGTGAGCCTGTAGTGAGCGTTCGTATGTTGAGGAGAGTTATGAAATCATGTGCCCCAGCGTCAGTGAGGTTGAATGTACAGATAAATGTACAGATACAGTAAAAGTAAGGTTAATATGGACGTATCGATGAGGAAATATGATTCGAGAGGGCAAGGCAATTATTGAAGAGAGGAGGGATTGGGAGGATGAGGTATTGTATGTATCTCGTAACTAGACTTGTTACACAGATGGCTTTCAATCTTGTTACCTCTTAGTCTGGGGTCACCTTGCTGAAAAATACATAGGAATAATAATAATAACTAACAATAATGTGTTAGGTAGGTACGTCCTAAGATCCCAAGTCCCAAGCGACTACCGTATGTACTATAATATGTACTAAAACCTAGACCTCCATAGCCACTACCCCATGGCGAGTACAACGAACGACTTGGTAACCGTTACCCCCCTTGTCACAAAATTCATGAGGTGCTCTTTCCACTTATGACGGCTAGGTATCGGCTCCGACGGCATGGTGTTGGTTCTCGTCCGCGGAAAGCACGAAAGCACGAAAGCACGCACCTACCTAGTCACTTACTTACATGAGATGTATGTAATTGTAATGAGCGAATTGGCCGAGTATGCCTAACCTAGCCGGACATAACCTAGCCTTTCCAAGTCTAACTACCTATAGGTAGCTAATCGTATAGAAAAAGTACAGAATATGGGGCAGCGGCTCGGGTAGAGTAGATACGTACATACTCGGTAAAGGGAATAAGTGAGATCAGGGTCAGGGTCAGGGTCAAGGTCAGGGCTAGGAGGAGGCTAGTCATTACGGGGTTACGCCGATATAAAGCTAAAAGGGATGCCTGGAGATCATAGATCATAAGGCGAGAACACCCCCGTACACTACCGTAAGTAGATTGATTGATTGATTGATTGATTGATTGATTGATTGATTGTATGTAAAGTACGTATGCAGTCTAGGGGTTGTGTTGTGGTTGTTACATACTTACTTACCTATGATTGCGGATTATGGATTGTAGGAAGAGAGACATTGATGATGTTAACTTTGATGTGGGCCGGTACATTTTAGTCGAACGGAGCTGATCGACAAATACAGCCAAAGTACCTTTCATGTATCCCCGTAGTTGTTGGCCCGTTGCCCCCCGTGTAAGCAGCTCGCGAAGTACGATCGAGGTACGTACCCTTGCTCCCGTAGCTCTCCTAGGCAGTTAGCTCGATTTACCGAAGTGCGCGTTTGTCAACCTATCATTAGAGTTGCATGCTTGTGAAACGTGCTATATGTATATGGGGTAATTAGGAAGCGTAAGCGAGGGGTTACCGTCGTAACGAACGGGCAGGAGTCCCAAGAGAACCGTCATTCATATACCCATGGTTCATTCCTCAAGCTTCCCTACATACATACTATTTACGCATTCTAGAAACAATTCAAGGAGATAGCAGATCCAACAAGAAAAATAGAGGTCGCCGACCTGTTACCCGCGAACTTACTGGTCATAACGAATATAATCCTAGAGGAAACTTTCTTTCTCTCTTCTCGTACCAGGTTTTAGCGCTTAGTCGGTTATTAGCAGCAAAGAAAGGGAACAAAAGCCAAGATCTGTATAGTAAGTCCCGGGTTCCAGACCACGTATATGCACATACGGCTGATACATAATCTACATAAAGTAGGCGGTAGGTAATTTCGAGAGTCGCCCAACTTCTTAAGATAGTATACTCCCAATACTCCCATGACGGCTAATTGGTAACGAAAGGAGCTCGTGCGCCGGCACGTAGCACTCTAGTGTGATTCCAGTGGTCTGGGTGCACTAGTTGGCAGTACTTCTCCCTTCCCTTGATTTTAGTCTCATAATTAGTGTAGTCTCTCCCCGTACTGCTCGCTTGGCACCGGCTTCATCTACCGCGTATGGAATAAGCTATCCTCGCTAGCACAGATCTAGCACGAGCTATGTCACAACTATCTACTAGGTAGAAAGGGTTAGTTGGGGTTAGTTAAACTAGGTAGACTTCGCGACTGCATGGTCCTTTTGCAGACGGGACGCTTGCAGCCGCGCACCAACACTCTAAGAAAGAGCCTAATGTGTAGGTTATTAATGACTGGAGTTCGAGACGACTCCTTATTAACGCTAGTCGTCCCAAGAATCCTGACTTCCGGAGACTAACTGCTGGCTTGAATCTATCAAGTTTGCAACTTCGCAAGGGCTTATGTATACGATCAGCACCCAAGAAAAATCTTGGATAGCTTAAAGTGCTAGGCCGTCTTGGGAAACTCATTGGCGATATACAATGCACAGTTCCCCACCAGTTTCCACATTATCAACCCTCCTCCGGCCCTTTCGTTGTCGGCCGAGTGGGAGGAGCCGCTCGATGTACTGCGGTATTATACACAGTAGTATGCGTTGCATGGGAAGTAGGTAAATTCATCATCACTCGAGCTAGCCGGACGGGATCTTTAGACCTAGCTACTCACGGGACCAGACTTCTGGGCGAACTTCTGGGCAAAAACATGTACTATCCCACTTCGTCCCCTTTGGAGCCCCCCGAAACTTGCATTCGCTAATATTCTCCTTCTAGGGAATGGGCTGACGGGGCTACGTAGGAAAGAGGAAGCCGGGCTTTTGCTCCATGCCCCCGCCACACATGTAATGATCGCTGCAGAAGGGCGGATGGCGTTTTTTTCTTCTTCCAAGCCTTGCTGAACTGTCGCGCATCACTTTGTGTCACTGCTTCAGATTATAAACAAGCTTGTCGCAGACCTGCCGACCCCATCGAAACGGGAAGAAAGCATTTGTCGTCTGGCAGTTACAGTGTTAGTTCGGCGGTATTCGTAGATGATTGGACATGCCGGCATCGAGTCCGGCCGAAAAGTCCGGAGAACCAGCAGCCAGGGAAGAAAACAAAAGCCGATGACATGTGGAGATACAATACCCCTCCAATAATAAGACGATGGCATGGGCTTGGCTAGGTATCTTAGAACTGGAGGCTGCCCAACTGCGACCGGCAATTGTTTTCTATCACCGGCAGCTAAGTCGCAAACTAAAATTATCATGCAAGGGTATCTATCCATCGACTCGTCAATACTCGAATTTATGGTAATTGAGCACATGTTGTGTCGCCTATGGTACGGCACATTTTGCTTGTACTACTTGGTATAACGAGTTGGGAGCCTCATAAATCAGCTCTATTGACAGCTCAGGACCCCTTCCATTAGCCTATCCGTAAGTCTGCGACGGGGCTTAAGTGGAAAACCTGGCGGAGGTGTCAACCGAACATGCTCGCCACCAAGTCGCGCTCTCGGCGGAAGCACGGATGGGGCACAAGCTGAATTGGTTTACCCCAGCTCGCTACAACTTTCTAGAGACTGAAAGCGGTCTCTTGCTCCACGGCATACATATGGCATACATACCGTACATGTTGTTGCTCTCGTATGTATGTGGTTGATTTCATGCTCCCTAGATACTAGATATCAACCAGACCATAGAACTGGTGATCCTATTGACTCGATCCAGTTGATTGGGTTTAAAGCAATCAACGTTTCGGCGTTTCTTCTAGTGGCCACAATGTCCATGTGATCAACCCGACCGCCGGAGGAAATTTTTCTTTATGACCTATCGCAAATTCGCAATGCCAGCAAACCTGGTGGCACTCTCGGTCAGACTAGGGGATGCAACGCGAGAGCCCTCCGAAGGTTTTCTCATACGACAAACCCAAGAATGGACGCTTGCAGGTCATCATCTCCTAAATGCGCAGTCAAATCAAAGTTAGCGTGGCAATTCAGAAACCAAGCAAGCCACGAGCCTGTCTGGCGTCGATTTTCAAACCGTCGGATTTAATCGATGGCGGCCTAGGTTAGCTTCTTTGCTAGGAGCTACGTAGGAACTAGGAGTTAGCAGGCTACACTAATTAGGAGGTCATCTTAGTGATCTATCTAGTCTCGAAGATCGAGCCACGTCTCATCATCCCGTCCAGCCCATGCGGTTTCCTCCGCTGCGTCATGCCCATGTCGAACAAAACACGTACAGATTAGCGAAATGACCCTCGTGGCTCAGTATGTAATCCGCAGTGCCGAATTTCAATGGGCTTGGGCTTGGCTGGTCTGATGCATACCGTACACTATGATCGACGCCCCCCGGACGTAAGGGCCACGCTTCCTGCCCGCAAGAGCAAGGTTCTGTCGCGGAATTATCAAGGATGATTGCCCCCCTGAGCGAGCTTGAGCTAGCAACTCCTTTGGCCTGTCATTATATTAAGTATTTCAGTTGGACAAAGCTGAAGCCGAGGTTGAGTTGCTCGTGACACACAGGATCAAGAGTAATTGCGGCTCAAGTTTTTTGACCCCTTTTAGAAAGCAAACATGGATCTTTGCCATCGTCACATCACCATTCACATCACCATCCCATGTCGGACACGAGTTGAGTACACTACCGAGCAAAACTAACTTCTTACTCATCTCTTAATAGATCCTATTGTCATCCAAGGAGGGTTTTCAAGGGTCAATAAGCAGTACTGTTCTTGCGAGAAGTGGTAAGACGCCTGGGCAATCCTTCCGCAGGGTCTCATCGTACATAGTTCCAGCACGTAAGCAAGAGGCAACACGACTGGGCTGAAAATGGCGCGCGTTGGCGTTAGGTATGTGCCGTAAGTTGAAGGAGAAGCGGACTAGACTACGGATTAGTCTTTGACACTAATCCAGAAGTGAGAAAAATGGTCTAATGGTCTAAATCGTCTGAAGGGCAGTAAAAGGTGTCGTCGGCATTTGCACAACTGTCCCTCTTGTGATCCGTGCCCCAGCGCCCTGGGATCTTAGACGGACGCTAGTTAAGCGATGAAGTACATTAGATAGTTTAGTTAGGTTAGGTATGTAGTTTAGTGCAATTCCGTAGTGTATGTATGTAAAATAAAAAAAGAGTTGGTGCCTGGAGAAGGAAGTGCCCGGACCCGGACTTATCTTCCCTTGACGTTCGCAATAAAACCCACCTGTTAAGAACTGAGGATCGGCTGTTAGACAGGGCCATGTGGCTGGGTCGCACTCAGCTCCAGCTTCCTTCGCGGCTGCAGATGCTTGCCGAGCGGCGCCATGTGCCCCGTGCGTGAAGTATTTAAGAAGTACCTAATATTATTCCCTCTAGCTTATCGTATGTACTCATACGGATTACGTACCTCCCAGCTTAATAAATAGTAGCTCGCCATG